TGTAAAGCATTTTTTTAAACGACTAGTTTTTCAATTGAAAAGCTAGAGAGAAAACATCTTGGAAGCGGCGGAAAGTCTGTTTACTTTTGTATTAAAAATTGAGCCAATCTTCAAAAGAAAGTCAACAGAAAAGCTAAAAAAAGTTAGATGAAAAGCTGTTGAAAATTTGTATCCTCTGGTGACTTTTTTCAACAGCATTTCAACAAAAAAGCACCAAAGTTTTTCGTCAGGAGTAGCAGCAAGGGAATTCCCACAACATTGAACAGCTTTGTGTATCTAAAACCATTAAGAACTTTGCGTATTACACACCCTTGGGGACCTTGTGTATCCAATACCCTTAAAAAATTGTCTTTTAACACCGACTTTGTGCATCTAAAAAAGACTTAAGAACATTGTGTATTACTGATACCTTGGACACTTGTGTCATACATGTTTAGCAACTTTGTGTATCTAACACCCCTAAAAATTGTGTTTCTAGCCCCCTTGGAAACTTCGTGTATATAAAATTATTAGAAAGAAGCGTGATTACGGTTTTATGGACTCAGCTTATCTAGAACCCTTTAGGAACATTATGTATTACACACCCTAAGGGACTTCATTGCATCTAACTTAGCAACAAACCGGAAATCACCTTTAAGGCCGTAAAACAATTTTTTCTCCGTACCTGTTAAGACCTGGAGTCCTGCACACTCGCGCAGAATAACGGCCATTCTGCCTTCTTCCCTCCCCCCCCCCCCCCTTTTTTTTTTCTTCCCTCGCGTTGTTTCCCGCGCACTCATCGAGTTGTCAGCTCGCCTCCCCGACGGCGACGACGACGACGACACATCAGGCAAAGAAGAAGAGCAGGTCGGCCGCGTCGGAGCAACAGGAAATAAGCCCTGGGCCCGCACGCCAACCGCGGGCCACGACCCGGCTCGGGCAAGGGCGACCCGGGGGCCGGGCGTGGTCGCCAAGTCGGGTTCGCGCTCCGGGTCTCCCGGGAACCGCTAAATATTCATGGCCCAGGGCAGGCAGGCGCACGGTCTGGCTTTCTCTCTCTCTCCCTCTCTTTCTCTCTGTGTCTCTCTTTGTCTTTCTCCCGTTTAGCCGTAGTTCCTTCGCGTGCGACGCCATATTTGGTCGTCCGATTCTTCGCGGACCGTAAGGGAGGTGCGCGTGCGCGGGAACATGCGCCCTTGTTGCCAGACTAGGAAGGAAGGAGAGAGATAGAGCTAGCGAAAGAGGGGAAAAGGGCAGAGACGAATGGGAATTTCAGTGGCGCTCTGAGCTTTACGAGGAAAAGAAATGAGTCGCCGGATAGACGAGCTCCATTCGGTGAATTCGGTCTTCGGGTGTGTGCACGTGCGCTTTCCAGGATGCCCGCTGTTGCGTATAGCCTTGTCGCGTGTATCCCTGCACTGTAATGCCGTTAGGTGCTGCGGTTAGGCGGTGAATATATAAATAGTATAGGGAATTCCGGTGGTTGAATAAGAGCGGTTATTGGAGTTTCATAGCGTTATCCATTGCATAACTTTCTGCGAACTACACAAACGCTAAAGCACGAAGGTTTCTTTAAAAAAAAAAACGCTAAACATATTTTTAATATTTTTATTGCGCTTAACATTGGTTGTACCCAATTTGACCGGAAGTGCGAACTTTTAGTGCAGACAAGGTTGAAGCTACGAGCGAGAGGATGTGCGCTACACCGAAGCTCGTGCACTGCGCGTGCGAAAGCCCCGCTAACCGAGCCCTTTTGTGACGCTCGTAGGCGGTGGCGAGGAACGTATACCCACCGACGTGCATTCAACCGCATCTCATTCGTCAAGCAAAAGACACGGCGGTCGCCGCCGAGGAGAATAGAAGGGTAGGAGAGGGCATGACGCCAGCCGCGTAGCCTCCACAATTCATGCTCCCTTGACGCCTCGCCTCTTCCTCATGTTCCACCTTACCCTCCTCACTTATCAGCCCAACATGACCACATCACGTGACCGTAGCTAGCCTTCGTCTAGCCTACGATCTGATAAAACCTACCGGACGGAGCGCGCGCAAGCCTGCAAGGAATCCTCCTACAATCAACCATCCATCTCGCACGTGACATGTCACGCGCACCAATCGCCAGAGAGATCTACGGTGACGTTGGCCACAACATCGTTTAAATTTTTATGACTAGGCTTCACCAATATTGCAGTACTTCTAGTACTTATAACCTCCTTGCTCGCCGCAGACGGGGGGATCGGTGGCCGAGTGGGCTGAAGCGCACACCCAGCTCGACGCGCGTGGAGCGAAAGCTCGCGCTGCAGAACCCAGGGATCCTGGGTTCGAGACCCAGCCCTGCCCGTTTCGATCTGGATGAGCATCGTACCGGCGTGCGGTCGTGTATCACTACTGCGTGAGCACGTTAAAGACCCCAGATTAGCAGTCGTACTGCACTGGCAAAATTGCTCATCTACAGTGTAAACCAGTGTCGCCTCATCCTGGCAGACCAACCTTACACTGTATACACACTAAACGTCCAATTTGACTTTTGACTCGCCGCAGACATCGACAAACGTTTCTGCGGACCAGACTTGTAGGCTACTCAGTAACTAATCAACTTACTCGTAATCAATTACACTTCGGGGTAATTTTGTAATCATTCGAATACATTTATCAGAAAGGAATCGCAAGAGTAATCTGATTTTTTTTTTAAAGTATACGAAAAGTATACTTGTGACCGTTACCATTTTCCCGTCCTTTTTCTAACGACACATTCTTTTTTTTTTTTTTTTCACAAGATTCCTACTAAGAAATCCTTGAACAAACTCACAAAGTCTCCGATAGGGGGAATTGTAAAGCCCAGCGACTTGATGGCGCAACGCCGCAATGTGTCTGAAGAATACAGTTTCGCAATGCAGCCTCTAGATTAAGATTAAAACGACGGGTGGCGGCTTTAAGGGGGAGAGGGGGTACCTCCGCTCCGCGGGGTTCCACAACTGAGTTGATTCAATAACGTTGATTCACGCCAACTGGCGTGGGGATGTGCGGCAACAAACTGTATGCCGAAAGTGTTGAAAAAGTGCGAAACTTATGTCTACGCGAAGCTATCCATCCGTGTATCACGTACACGGGTATATATTATCCACCAATACCTCTTCACGAAAAAGTCCTGGAGACCTCGCGGTTATCACATATTCCACAGCGCGACAAGAGGAATTGTGGGGCAGTTTCGATGTACGCACAGGGGAGTAGTTCGAAACCTTTCGGGGGTAAAACCTGCAACGGGACACGGACGAAGTAATCACGAGAAAGTACACAGTTCGTCTTTACTTCAACCGCGTGTCCCGTTGCGCTGTTTTACCTCGAAATGTTCATCAACGAACTATAAGCCCAAACAAACCTTTTAACATAGTTATAAACGTACGAAAAAAAAAAAAAAGGAACAGGAAGAAAGGTTGTCACTCTGTTTCGCTTTTTATCTGCTCTCCAACTCCGCATTTTGAAACTCCAAGACAAACCAACATAAACTTCGTTTTCTATGCCTGGGAGATCTTCCGCGTGCTATACATCACCGTAATTTTGTTGCGCGTATGTTTAGGCAATCGGAAGTAGGTCAGCCGCAATGGGCGTCTGGTGTTTCAGCTGAAGGCGACAAACGTAGCTAGTGCCGTGCGACTGCTAGCCCGGGGTCTTTAGCGCGCATCACCCAGTAGTGGTACACGACCTCACGCCGGTTCGATGCTCGTCCAGATTGAAACGGTCAGGGATGGGGATACAGTACTTCCAAAAATCCCTGCATGCAACACTGCGCGCGATGCATGATGGTATTTCTTTGGCCATGGAGAGGAGAGGAATTGCTTGCGGTTTCGATCGCCCCGTTTACGAAGTAACGCATCTCAGCACAGCATAAAAATAAAGTCGGCACTCGCCTGGATTGCGCCCCGTCATCTTTGTGAGAGCCAGCGCTAAAACACAGACCTCCAGCGGTCGTAAGGACGTGCCGCTAAACGCCGGAGTACGGCCAGTCCGCGTCCCATACCCTTCTGGCGGCCCAGCAACCAGCCCCCCCCCCCCCCCCTCCCCCCCCCCCCCCCCTCCCCAAAGTGAGCATAACTATCCCAACAAACGGACAATTTAGCAGGCCCGTAGAGCAGATGGTATGCAGGACGACCGGACCTAGTATACTTCTTCTTAGACATGTGCTTTCATAGTCCTGTTTTCCCGCTCACAAAATTTAACACGACGAAAAACTCTTCCCCCCCCCCCCAAAAAAAAGAAAAAAAACTGTTTTAGCATTTTGTTTTTATTGGTGGGCAACGCCTACATTTTACAATGACAATACAAATACTGCAGAGGGGGAGGATGGCTGGACAAGAATAACGATAATGCCCGGAGAAGGAGAACAAGGGGGACAAAGGAAAAAAACAGCTAACGTTCATTTAATATTAATTTTAGGAAAGTCAGACATGTCAAAATACAAGCACTGTATTTGATCGTAACGGGATGTCGTGAAGTGAGGTTGGCAAATCGAAACCGAAACCGTGGGCAAGGGTTTCCCGAGATGCTTTGCACTGCGCAACCGTGCCGTGCAAGCACTGTTAAGAGCCACATGCTCGCGCTCGTTGCATCGGCTGCGTCTTAAGCTGAAACGAAGCATAAGGTTCTGTACCGCGAGCTTTCACTCCACACGCTTAGGTTTGCTAGAATCAGCGTCTCAGTTGAGGACGTGAAAAAAAGCCTACGAATTCTATGGAGCGCGAGTGCTTGAGACTTGAGTCTCTTTACACAAACTCGACTGAGAGGTTGATTCTAGTGAACCTGCCCAGGGGTCTCATCTGGACACTTGGCGAAAACGTCGGCGAGGATTTCGACCGCCGTGATTGGACAGCGCCAAGGTCAAGCGTGGCGTCGGCCAATCACGGCCGCCGGACTCCTCGCCAACTTTTTCAGAGCGCCAGGTCGTCATAATCCGCCAAGCAGACGTCGGAGTGGTTCATTCGGCAACTTTAAGCCGATGGCCATGCAAAGGCAGGAGACGGACTCACCTCGGCGGAGCCTAGCGGACGGGCCTTAGCGCGGAGGGAATATCCGGGGCCTCTCCAGGCTAGAGGAGCATCTGCTGCGGAAGGCACGGCGGAAGGTCGAGCGACAGCGCCGAGAGGCCCCCGGGGTCCTCCGCCGCCCCGGCCGCGGGTCAGAGCACCTCCGCGTGCCGCTTCATGTGCAGCGACAGGTGGTCCGACCTCGAGAAGGCCCTGTCGCACAGCCGGCACTGGAAGGGCCGGTCGCCCGTGTGCTTCCGGTAGTGCCGCGTCAGCTCGTCCGAGCGGGCGAACTTCCAGCCACAGCCCTTCCAGTTGCACTGGTACGGCTTCTCGCCCGTGTGCGTGCGTAGGTGCGCCTTCAGGTGGGAGCTCTTGGAGTACGTCTTGCTGCAGCCCGGGTACGAGCAGGTGTGCACCGTCACCTTCTTGGGACCCCGCGACCGCCGCCCCCGCCGAGGCTTAGTCGCGGGGACCGCGGACCCCGACGGCGCGTGAGGCCCCGGCGTCGCTGGGCACAGTCCGCCGGCCAGGAGGTCGGCCAGCTGGGGGGACGTCGGCGGCGACGTCGGGGGCGTCGCGGCACGACCGGGCAGCACGGCGAAGCCGTGCCCGAAGCACGGGGGTCGTGGGGGTCGCGCGCACGGCGCCGCGTAGCGCGGCGTCTCTGGCGACGCACGCGCGCACGGTCCCCAGGGGGCCTGGTAGCCCGCGGGACAACGCTGCGGTACTCCAAAATACCCGCCCGGCGCGCACTTGGCGGGCTCGCGGGGGGCCCAGGCGTAGCCCGACGTGGCGTACGGTGGGGCGGAGGTCGGCACCGACGTCGGGACGGGCGTCCCGCCCGCCGTGTCCACGTAGTAGGGCTTGGCGTCGGCCACGGTGAGACCCAGGTCTTCGAGGGAGTCCGGGCGACCGCTGGGAAAGCCCACGTGAGTCGGATAGCCGCCGCCGCAGCCCGGGGGTGGGCACGGTGGCGGGGGTAGGGGGGGCACTCGTCGGGGAGGCGGAGACGGACTCGGGACCCGGGATTCGGGAGAGAATCCCGGCGCCATGTCGCCCAGCAACACGCTCTCGATGTCCTGCCACATCTGCGAAGCAAAGAAGGGAACGTGTGAGGATCCGAAGAAGCAGATGATGATGATGATGAAGGTTTTGAACGACGCAGCAAACCTCGCCTGACATAGCAAGTTGAACATGGCTGTAATCCTAAAAATGTGGTTTTGGTGGAAATGGAGGGTGAAAAGGAGACGCGAGCACTCAGGGACATCAGAACGCCGAACTCTGATTGGAGAGATTAGTGGGTAGATCTAAAGCTTGCAGACTTTGTCTCCGCCGTACTCGTCGAAAGCGTCGACTTTCCAATTCGAACGCGTTCGACAAGTGCATCGGAGTCAAAGGCCCAGCCTTAGGTCTTCCCACTAATCATTCGAATCAGAGCTCGGCGTACTGACGACCTCCCCCGCTCTTGCCTCCTCCTCTCCCTCAGATTCTCGGCGCATAACTTTAAACCCACTTCGAAACGTATCTAGGCTTATCAGTAATACCCAACAACACACAACTTATAATACCTAAACGATTCGTCAAGATTCCCTGATCAAAAACAACAACGTTCATGTTTACCTCCAAGCGTATTTTTTTCCCCAATCCCCAGAAGCCAGACATCTTCAGAGTCCTAAAAAAAGCGACGCGGCTCCATTACCATTAGCGTGAAGATATGCCTCCCCCTTTATAACACCCGACCACAATACCCACCAAAGGCAGCCAGTTTCCATTCCCCGTTTTCAAATATAGACGTCTTATTTTAGCCCCCCACAAAAACCCAAAACATCAGAACTTGCAGCCACGAGGCATGTACGGACCATCAGCCATCATCATCGCATCCGCCCATGACGTCTCCAACGCAAGGTCGCGTTGAGAAGACCTGCCGCCGCGTGGTGGACACTCCGTTGGCGGGCGCGGGCGCGCCAAGGGTTGGTCCGGGGTCAACGACGGGCCACGGCAGGAGCGTGGGCCGCCGTCTCGAGGCGCGCAAGTCCGGACCATCCCGACGTGGATGCTCCGCGTCAGGGGCCGCAACAAAGCATCTTCGCGCAGCGCGTGGCCCAGATGGTTGCGCGGAGGCCAGACTTGGAAAGGCTCAACGGCCCGTCCGATTTCTCCACCCCGCCCGAAAGAGACGCGGCAGCAGCAGGGCCTCCCGCGCCCCTTTTGTCCGGAGCCCCGGAGAAGTGCTTCTAATGGCGCCGAGGCAAAGAATACGGTCGGGACGAAAATGTCGTTGGCGCCGCTCGCCCCCGCAGCGCGAGAGCCCGTTGCGATAAGCCACCGCACGAGTTCGCGAGGTCTTTCTGGAGGACGTTGATGTCTTACGTTTAGACGTCCGGTGAAGTCTAGATGGCCTCCGTGACGTGTTGTCGATCCAAGATGAAGTGACTGAACGCGCGCGTCTATTCTTTTTTTTTTTTTTTTTATCTCGAGTGGAGATTGGCGATTTCCGAGAACATACTTCCGTGGCTTGGTGTTCCTTTGGCCGATTGTTAATATTATCTGCAAACCTCTCGAATGGAATAAAACTTTGTGGCTACTACCATGTTGGCGGTGACGTCGATAGTGTGTCTCACTTTCCCGCATGGCAACGGGAGAAAACAGTGTAACGATCCGTGAAAGGTGTTTAGTGAATAGCGACGCTGAGTTGACACGTACCCAGAATTCGATATGGATTGCGTTTCGGTTAGCGTTGGTTGGTTGGTAGCATTCGCTTGACAGCGATGCGCCTGCATTTTGGAGAACTCTGGCGTTTTCTGGATCGTTTTCGAAAATACGAGTGCATATGTGTGTGGCTGTGCACAGCTTGGTCGTCAATCTGCGTGAGTGCACACGCTCCGGTGTCTTTCACTGCATTGTCACAGGAAGATGTACCCGGAGTTAGCAGACCGTAGCCGAGTGCACGCGTGCAGGAAAATACTCCGCTGGTAGAACTGAGTGATCTAAGGCTTCAATCTCCGCTCTTGCCAGTTTATATACAGTATCTGGATACTAGCGAGTTTTCGTAGACCGTGTTTCCCGCTCCGCTAAGCCCCTCCGCTACCCAGAACTGTACAGCCAAGGCCATCGGCGCGCAGGCGCAGTGGCGGTTTCTTCGTAGCGGAAGGCTAGCGGAGCGGGAAACACGGTCTACGAAAACTCCCTATTATTTCCACGTCGTCGCTATCGTGAATCGTGGAACTTCCGGTAAGGGGGAAAACGTCTTTTTGCCTTTGTACGCAACTGAGAGATATTCACGTTTTTATCAATCCTTCTCTTTTCCCTCTCCTACGTTTTCTTATTTGTCCGAGTTTGTAATTTCTTGAGTTGTTTCCTCGCCAATACCAGATATGTGAACGACGTAACTGGAGACGAAAGTAAACGGATAACGCCTTTACATAGCCTGCATTGGCGTTACACCAGCGGGCATAGCGGTGACTCTTTTGCCGAGCGCGTATACATTCTGCAGCACACATTTCGCAACACCGAATTTGTTGTTTTCGGTAAGAACAAGGAGGAATGACCACCAGCATGGCGCCAGGGCGGCACGTGCAGGCCACGAATAGCTGATTGCCCCTCCGTGACGTCCAACCAAAGCCCCATCGATGTGTCTGCGAATGTGATCAAAAGGCTGTATGCTGAACCGGCCACGCCAAGTCTCGAGGGCGCACCGACCTCTCGTTGCACAAACACCGACAACGTCCAAACCCAAAATCACGTCCGCTCCATCCAGCTGCGGCGTGCGTTCCTAGAAGCGCCGCCGTACGCGCGCCAGGAGTGGCTCACGCTGATTGGCCGATCAGATAATGTTAATGGATAAGACCGACATTATATTGTACTGTGCGACAGGGTATAGGCGGAGTTATCTGCTTTCAAAAATCCGAGTGCAAGCACCCAAATCTTTATTAAGTCGTCCATTGAGTGCGAGGCCTCTATTCGGGTAAATACGGTATCTGTGCCTCTTTCTGAGGTACAAAACGAAACAAAAATAACAGAAAAAAGAGGGGATGGGCGGAGCTAGTCCCCAACCAAGTATGGACCCCCCGTAGTCGATGGGCATCTCGTCGGGTCACACGTGCGCGGCGAATCGCCGACGTGTGTCACGGCGCCTGTCCGCGGAGTGCCGAACCAACGGCGCGCAGAGGTTCCCGCGGGCCCCGTGCGGCCGCTGTCGCCCGCTGCTCCAAAACCCCGTGTCCGTTCCAAAGCTATGACACTGTTTGTGGACGCGGGTCACGCGCGACGCGTTCGAAATCCGGGTCTCCCCCAAAAACCGACGGAGTGCGCCGAGCCTCTGGCCGTGCACGGACCCCCTCCTCCTTTCTCTTCTCTCCTTTCTCCCCAACCCTCTACGATGGCCAGACGCCACGAGACGTCCCAGCCAATCCGGCTGCGGGAACGCGTCACGTGACTAAGCTCCGTTTCACACCAAGACCGAGAAGAGTGTGCGCAGTGCTCCAGCGCTTTCTTGTTTGTTTCTGTGCGTGGTTGGTTCAGCCGAGGACGGCAAACGCGAAAAAAGGACGGTGTTTGTTTCTGTGTGTGGTTGGTTTAGCCGGGGACGAAAAACCCGAAAAAGACGGACGGGCGCAGGCCGTGACGACGCATTTTTGACCGTCAAGCGTCAAGCGGCGGTCTCCGCAATCATTTGTCCTAGTGCCATCTTTGTGCCTTGCATCCGTGTTCGTTCGCGTATATTAACGTGAAACGTTCTTTGGCTATGCGGAGCGCAAGTGTCGTCTGCTTCTTGCACAGGGGTTGCGATGGTGTCAGAACGCCGTGCTCTTATTGCGTGGTGAAAAAAAAAATAGTGGGTAGACCTTGAGGCATCTATAGCATTGAGGTCTACCCACTATCCTTCCAATCAGAGCCAAGCAGAACTCGGCGTCCTTCTGACGTCACCGCAACGCCTGGGCAAGAAGCAGACGACTTGCCCTCCGCATATATTCCGTTTCAGAAGCAGACGAACTTCCGTTCCAGACGCAGCCGACGCTACGAGCTCGAGCTTGTGGCTCTGAGCAGTGCTTGTACTGTACGAGCGGGCGTGCTTGGCAGGGACGCTGAAAGCCCGGAGCTCGCGCTTGTATTGCATCGACTGGGTCTAGACTTAACCTGAAACGAAGTGCAGTTGCTCCGGAGTTCGTGAAGCCGCATTTCGTGAAACAGTGGCCTAACGTCCCACAATGCAACATGCGCAGTGTTGCACGACGGGACGTCAGATACCTACACGTCAATTCAATTTCCCCGCTAAATTTAGCGGGGGAGTTCAATCGGTGTGTAGGTCACGCGACATTAGTTAACTTTACGTCGATTTTCCCGCTGAATTTAGAGGAAAAAATAAAATTCCCGTGAGCTGCGCACGAATTCAGTTTCCCCGCTAAATTTGGCGGGTAAATTGGCGCCATCGTGACCCGATGTCGCGTGACGCTATAGAACGTTTCAGGTACGCAACGCAATTGCCCAGCAGTTTGACGCGTACATATTTCTGTCGTTTACTGGTCCGCAGAAGTTTTGACTCGCATGCAGGCGCTACGGAGTACGGGTTTTGTTAACCTTTCTGCCAGCCGTGCACGCCTACATACTGCTGTGTTCGCCCTTCCGTGCAGACAAGGATAAAGATTAAGACCGCTGCTCAGATGGCGCCATCGCATTAGAGCGTCGGCTGCGCTCGGGCGATGAAATGGAGTCTATAGGAGTGGCCGGGATTTTCGCGAGTCTGCCGAGCGAACTGTTATTGAAGGCTCAGGAAGAAAATACAGCGTTCCCTAGTTTCAAACGAGCGGAATTCTAAAGCGGCATTGACACTGCTCATAGATTGTACAAGAGACACGGAGTTTGCTACAGAAACGACGACAGAATCACTTGCGCAAACGTCTGTAGGATTTTCTAAACATGCCCGTTTCACGCAAACTTCGTAAATGTCTGCCGCCAGTTTTTGTATAATGAATGTGACAGGAGCGCCGTGCATGATAGTGACGAGGCATGGTATACAGTGTCTGCAGTCTGATATTTTTTACGATGTATAAGCAGTATGACCGCGACCTAAACAAAGTTGCACCAGTTC